TTGTAATTTCATTAGACGGTGCTAATATAAAAATTACTAAGAAACTTTAGAAGTATCAACTAGATTATAAATAACCAATTTGCTAGTTACGCATCTTAGTACCTTCGCTCTGCTAAAAAAAAAAATAAGCGTTAGAGGTAAAATTCATTTAATATATATATATAAACATTACACGAATGTTAGTATATTGTACTATAATTTGATTGGTTATTATATTCTGGCTACACATAGCCTGAGGCTATAAATATATTTATTCATAATTTATAATACAAAAATAATACAAAAAAAATAAAGCTGCTAAATTTTAGCTAAGTCTATTTACTATAACTTAGTAACCTTTTTTTAAAAAAATACTTAGCTATTCTTGATTTATAATTAGCTGAAAATACCCAATTCATATCTGCTTAAAATAAATAGAACAAAAAATATGACTTGGATCAACTAATAAAATTTAATAGTATATATATTTAGAATTCGATTAGCTGATCACAAATTATGTGAATACTTATAAGAATTGGGAGTTTCATATAAAATCTGAGTGTTCTTTGCATATGTTTTTAAGAAAATGCTTATTCAAAAAACCAGAGCATGAAAAAAATATACCTTTAGCAGTTAGTACAAAAGGTATGTTAAAATTTTCTCATACCCTTTTAACCCTATAACTACTTATTTGAGAATCTGAGAAGAAAATATAGGGTACAAAAAAGAAATATAGGTATACAGATTCTGAGATTTTTTTTTTTCTTTTGTCAAGCTTGTACAAAAGATATCAAAATTTTCTCATACCTCTAACCACTTATTTGAGAAAAAATATAAGATACACAAAGAAGAAAATATGAGCATATGGATTCTTTACAGATTTTTTTTCTGTCAAGTTTTTATTTGAGTTCTTTAGATTAGAAATTATAAAAAAAATTTTTTTTTCTATTCATTTTATTTTTTCTTCTCAACTTTCAAAACTTATCTAACTTTGTGAAAACAAATTAATAAAGCATGCCAAAACAAAGAAATAAAGTACTTCAGATACTTAAAGAATATAATAATACAAGAAGTGAGCAAGACAAAAAAAGACAAAAGAAGAAAGTTGTGAATATTTTGAAGGACAATTTTACTGAAGACGATGTTTGGCTGAGGATGCTTTTGCTAAAGATATTCATAGAGATATCTTTGTTGAAGGTATCTGTGAAGATATTTTCAATGAAGATATATTTGTTAGAAACAGTGAATTTGATGAAAAGTAAAAAAGAGCTTGAAGAAGTAACAACGGTTCCAACTCTTATATGAAAGAAAGCTAAAAAGAAAAATACAAAAATAATTAAAGGATTACCAAAATCAATATATTATCATAAGTTTGGTGCTTCTGGTACACTTTCAAATACTACTAAAGAAGTCTACAAAATTACTGATTTTTTTAAGTCTATGAGATTGGTATAGTAAAAAGTTTTTAGCTTTTGTATAATCAGTTATATTAAAAGGTTTTAATTATTGTTGTTATCATTAAAGTGAGTTTTCCAGAAAGTTTTCAATATCTCTCACGTTTCTTATGTTCTCTATAACTTTCTAGACAAGCAAGTATTTTAGTAGAGCTGTAGTCTATTCTAAGTCCTCTCTATCAAGTGGGTCTTCTAATAAAGATGTAGATGAATTTATGCTTTCTGAAGCTTAGAAAAGATTTTATGA